TCGCAGCACGTGGCGTAGATGGCGGCGCGAAGAGCACTCGACTGCGTCGGCGGCTGCGTCAAGTAGGCGATGCAGTGCGCACTCGAAACGAGTTGGCCCAGAGCATGGCGAAGCGCGTCGACATAGGCGGCAGCCTCGGCGCTCAGACGCGGCAGCACGTCGAGCAAGAGCGCAAAGACCGGTGCCGCGTCGGCATCGACAACGCTCTGCAGTGAGAGCGTACTGGGCGGTGTAAAGTCGACAAAGTAGCGCAGATTCCGCCGACACGCTGCCTCGATGTGAGCCGGTGGCGCCACCGACGTGGTCGCAAGGAGCGCGGGGAGTCGTTCGAGCAGATGTCGCTTGAGCTCTGCGCTTTGCATGTGAAGCACGTCGTGGAAGCACGTAAAGATGTCTTCTTGCTGCCGCGGCGAGAGCGTCGGCCGCTGCAAGAGGTCGCACCACAGGGAAATGGCTGCCATTTGGTTGGCGAGCACGGGCGCCACGAGCTGCTTGCGAAGGAAGATCATCACAAAGCTCTCAAACGCCGATGAGGCTGTCAGCGGAAGAAGGGCACGGAGCAGGCGCGTGCCGCAGGGCACCGACGTCGAAAAGAGGTGGGCCAGCCGGTCTTGGAGTTGGGGCGCGCACATCGCGAGCAGCTGCGTCTGGTCTTTCGCGAGTGTCTCAAGAACATGCAGCGCTTGGTCCGTTGCATGGATCGAAGAGAGGAGCACATTGACGACCTCGGTGCGGAGCTCGGGCACGTCGGTGAAGACGACGAGAAACGTGTGGTGCGCGATCACGGCCGACGTCGGCAGCCACGACACAGCAGCGTCCAGCAGCACGAGCGCTTTCCAGTGCTTTGAGAAGCGCAGCAGCGGGCGAAGGTCGAGGACCAAGGTCGCCTCCAAGTGCCGTTGCAGCGTGTTCTGGAGTTGCTTGTGCTCCGACTCGGGCTTGGCAATCGCGAGCTTGAAGAGCGGCTGGGTCGCGTGCATCGCATGCAGCAGGACAAGCACGTCCAGCGGCGTCCACGCGGCGCTGGACGACCGCAGCACCTTGTGGAAGCGCTGTACGTAGACTGGCGAGTACTGAAACAGCTATGTAGTCAACCATGTCCCTTCAATAAGCTCTTGGCATGGGACCCTACCGTCTCGAAAAGGTAGTCGAGGTCCCGCTCCAGCGACGGCGGTGCAAACGACAACATGTCGCGAGACAGTTGAATCCACGACTGGTCGTCGTGCGCGTCACTGAGCTCGTAGCACGCCCGGATCGAGTCGTCCCAGAAGCCAAAGGCGAGCTGGGACGAGAGAGAGGGCATCGTCGCTCGCACAAGCGCCTGAGCAAGCATGGTATGTGAGGTTGAAGACCGGTAAATAGAGAATACCTGCAGTGTGTGGTGGTGTGCGCGAGTCAGAAACGTGCAGCCGCGGGCAAAGCCCAGCACGAGGTGCAAGGTCGGTGCAGCCCACGGTAATTGAAGCAGCTGTTCCACGAGCTGCAAGAGGCTGAGCACACGCTATGGCGATAGGCACGTACGTGGGAGGTGTCGGACGACGGTGGCAGGAGCGAGACGAGGTACGGCACGCTGTCGAGGATCGACTGGAAGCTCCTCACGTCGACGGCCGAAAAATTGGTCAGCGCAGCATGCAGCAAGGCGACGATGGCTTGGAGCACGCTTTGGATCTCGCTCATGACGCTGAACGTCGTGTCTTTATCGTCCCGCAGCTCGTCCACGAGGACCATGAACACCATCGAGAGCTCGTTGACCCACTTGTAGTGCAACTACTTCTCGAGCACCATCGACAGCAGCAAATCGACGACGGAGCGTCGACGCGGCACCGCCTGTTCGTACGCTGCCAAGGCCAGGGACTGGCCCTCGATCGGACAGCCGAGTACGAGGCGGACAAAGGCCATGGCGGCGTCGTCGTGCTCGTGGCGAGGCAGGCCGCGCACGAGACCCTCGATCTACAACGATTGTCTTGGCACGTGGCAGCATGCATCGTAGACTCGCACCTCGGCCATGTCCATGCGCGCGAGGTGCACCTCGACGGCCTCAATGTCATCGGTCGTTGTCTGCAGCAAGCGCTCGAGGCTGGGCATGAGGCGGTCGGCGCCGGTGAAATTCCAGCATACGGCTTTATAGCGAATCAAATGCAAGAGCGTTTGGGATTGGCTGAAAATGAATTTGGGTCGCTTTAAATAGTGTGAGCGGTTACGTGACAACGACGAACTAATGCAAATCCACCAGTCAACTGCTCAGCAACGCGCGCTCTGATCCGAAGATCATCGCTGCAAGTCGCTCACACCCATTCATAACCCCCGAGAGTTCCGAGAGCGCCTCGATAAGTGAAAACCACACTCCGAAACGCCAACTCAGTTACAAACCAGCTATGGGGTTTGTTGCCTGTCGTG